AAATCTCCTCTAACCGACTTAATGACGGACTTCTGGTCTGGTGCCACAATGTTGTGAAATGCGATCCAGAGTCTGCATGGGGTATTTTATTTTGAAAATTGACCGGATTCTCTATGTTGTTTCTGTGTCTGACTTCGTGCTCTGTGCTGCTTGACACAAGTTGGTCGCGGCTTCTGTGAAAGACCAGCTGTGTGTTCTACGCAAAGCAGAGTGGAGAGACGCTTCTGGGCAGAAAACAGGAATGTGTCGCAGCCGTGTCTGGTGGAATTTGGGGGTTAGGGAGATCAAGTAGGCATCTAGAGAGAGGGATGTAGGTTTGTTACCAGGACACAACACCCATGGCAGCCCTTGTGTTTTTATGTATTTTTTACGTGCTTAACTACAGAGATTGTGTATTGGCCACCAAAACACACTTGACCTGAGCTTTTAATGCTGAGTTTAGTAAAGCATAATCTCCACAGGCAGATTCCACAATCTTTTTCTTTGTCTATATTAACTGTATTTATGATGATTGGTCAAGTGCCAATAATCCAGTATGGAGGCCCATAACTCTGCAGTACTGAAGTTAGCCTTTTTTACTAAATCAGTGCTGGTGCTGCATGGAGAACTCTCAATAGATTACTATAAGAAATATTATTGCAAAAGGTAAAACAACATTTAAGTTGCAAAAATGTTAGCACGATCATTTTTCCTCCTGAAATGATATAAGGGTTTCCAATCTGGAGCTGCCACCCACTATAAGCACAGTTACACCATCAGTCTAAAGCCTGCAGACAGCTTCTGCAGGTTATTACTGCCGTATGACAGCCTATTATCTCTCTATGACAGGCCATTACCTGCACAGAGGAGCTGGGTAATGAAATAGGCAGGAGGACAGAGAGAAGACAGTGTGCTATCAACAAATCAAACAGATGCTCTTTACACCGAGCCGCAGGGACAGAATCTAACACCGAGACTGCGTGTCAGAGCAGACTCAGCTACAGCACGCTGCGTTCACAATACGGAAGATTTTTTTAAGTGTTGCATTCAGGGATGCAATGGAGGGAAAATCCATTTATAGTCAGCATGTGATTTCAATCAACGCTGGATTTTCTTCGGGCTAATTTGTGAAAAATCTACTTTGCTGCATCTGGATCGATTGCACAGATGTTTGGGTCAGTTTAATTTATTAATCGATGAGTAAGAGGGCAAAAAAAAATTACTCTGCAGCTATAATCAATTTATCATTTATCTAATCAAGAAAAACTGCAAAACATTTTTCATTTCCAGAATCTAAAATGCGAGTATTTACTTTTTCTTATGTTTTATATCATCGTAAACTGACTCCTATTGGGTTTGGACTGCTGGCCAAACAAAAACAAGCACATTTAAGACTTCAGCTTGGTCTTTATAGGAAATTGCAATGGCCATTTTCTGAGGATGCACCATCAGTTATAACACTGGAGGAATAATCACCTCCTTTTTCTAGAAAATTGCAGTCAGACACCAATGTGCTTCATGCACAGGCAGGTTCCAGACTTTTTTGACTGGGGGTGGCACAAGTATGTGTCTCAGCTAAAACTGCGTGGGATTAGCATAAAGTGGGTGTGTTCTCAAAGGAAAGACTTGTGGGGACCCATAGAACCCATTTTCATGGGATATCTTGAAGTCAGAGGTCCAGGGATCCCTTTGAAAATGGCCATGCCCGTTTTTCCATCTGCAAAATTTAGCCTAACTTTGTTATTTAGCCCTCTTCCCGAATTGCTAGCATAACATGGTTGGTACCGCTGGGCACGTTAGCTCATCTAGTTTAGCTTTAAAACAGAGCCCGCTACAGCCTTGAAAGACAGTGCAGAGTGGAAGAGGGAAGGATACTGGGGAGGCACTTGGGGTGGCCAATCAGATTTCAGGGGCAGCCAGTGCCACCCCAGGGCCCCGGTCTGGAAACGCCCCTGTCCATCCAGGCTGTTCAGCTCTTCCTCTTACATGTTGGATAAGAAGATAAATAGACCAAGCTCCAACACTGCACAAAAGGCACCAAAGGGCAAATATACAGCAACAAAAAACACTCAAAGAATAGTGGTATCGGTTATCGCCTGACTAGTTATTTTAAAAATCGTACTCGCCCACATTTTATAAGTAAAACAATTGATTTAGGGAAAATAAACGTGATATTTACTGCATTTCTCTAGCCTTTACATTATTGATGAACCAGACTTCACTTAGTCCGACAAGCATGTTTTCAGTCATCAGTCTCTGGTCTCACGTGTCCAAATGAACCAAACAAAAAAGAGGAAAAGTAAAGTGCATCAAACACACTTAATGTAAATGTACCTTGGGTTTAACTTGCTATTTCCTATCTGCAGATATAAGCAGAGATTGCTTTCAAAAGCAGAAGAAAACACCTTCTCAGATTATTTTGCAACGCAAACATTCAATCTTTATCTTAAGAGCCAATAAGATACTGCAACGCTCAGGTGGAGGAGACATTTCTGAATGGGTTCAATCAGATGAACTGCAGTATATTTATATTTTTCAGTATATTATTCAGAGCCGTTATCAGATGAGTTATATAAAAATGTTGTGCATTCTGAACATTTTATTATTGGAGCAAATTACAGCAATTTCAGATTTTGGGGCCAGCTATCTTTGAATGGCAGTAATCAGCAATCAGAGCAGCATTCTGTCAGAGTGTTTGTGAGAGGACTGTTCTGTCGCCTCGTCTTTCTTTTGTCACCTGGCCGTGTGGAGCTGTGTGTCTTTATAACATAAAGGTCGACTGATGTGAAAAGCGATACCCGCACACATGCTAACGTAAACACACTCTCGTACGTAGACTGGAGTTACATTGAGGAGGTGTCAGTTTGCCAATATGAGAGGTCGATACTGGGGTATCAGCTGGCCTGTCGTCCAACTCAGACTCGCAGACCACAGCCAGTCGATATGTTTTTATCAGTGCATCAGAAGACATTCAGTGTCTCATATTGGTTTAAGGAGGCTCTTTCATCCAGAGAATTTTAGGGGTATAAAAAGCAAAAAACTGGATAATATCAGAATTAATTCAGCTCCTAACGATCTCAGCCTACTATAGACACACACACACACACACACACACACACACACATAACCCTGCCTGTTAATTCTGTGCTGTTCTGTGAGAGGATCAGTAAGAAAAATTGGACAGCGATGGTGGTGAGATTAGGATTTGAAAGAACTGGCAGCCCTTGGTGCACCAAAACACCCCGAGCACCAGTATCACCACAGCCTCCGTCCATCTCTCTCTCTGTCAGTCATTCTCAACTCCCACTGCCTCTGTGGAGACACTCCTTCCACACCAAACGTCCATGTAGTTTCACCACTTTCACCACTGGAATACATTGGTTTAACAACAGCCCCTCGGGTGAAACGAGCCGAGGTCTGCAGCCTCCCCGGGGCTTTTTTATCCATTTTTTTTTTCAGTGGGATCCCATCAACAAGAAGAACTGGAGAATGTCGACGTTTGAATTCCTTTCAAATGATCCCATTTGGGGAATGCCTAACAATGACTTTCCCTGTGCAGCATAATGTGTTACGGTGCAGACATGGTCAGAAATGGGGGAAATAGAGCTTTTACACTCATGGTGCTGTGAAACAAGGGGCTCAGACATTACATGCTATTAAATGTACAGCTCTTACCTCTATTATGTCCTCACATTACATCAACAAATGACAACAAGATCATGAAATGTGGTCAAATATTTGTAGTTAACCATAATTCTCATGTACTTTTTAAAGTCTAGATGGAATAACTTTACAGGAGAATATGTGGAAGCAAACAGATCTCTGGTTTCTGAGACCTGATACAGTTGGAAGTTAACTTTTAACATACAATGAAAGATTTCTGAAATCTTTCCACAAGACCGAGAGGCCCCTAATAGTCTCGATCAATGACCTCACTATCACTTTTCTAAGTGGAGCCCGCTGGGGAGGAGAGAGAGGGACACTTCCCCATTGATCCTCTTTATCTACCGCCTGTTATGGCCTTTTACAGTTCACTTATTTTAAGGATTCAAGGTTATTTTAACTCAAGGTTGTATAAAATGAAATCTCCCGTTATACTAATCTTTTTTATTTTATTTTTATTAATGAGTCATAAAAATAAAAAATATAAATTTGTGTGATGAATGAATGAATGAATGTTGAGGAAGAATTTAACAGTATTTATTAGTTGTTAACTACCTTTACTACAGTTAACAACTACAAACTACAATTAACTACATTATTTAATTGTATTATTTATTTATTTTCTTTCGTTTGTTTGTTTGTTTGTTTGTGACCAGGACCAATGTCTGCAGAAAACAAACATACAACATGTGATCAGCAAATAAGGAATAATGCCACAGTTGAATCCAGATGGATGTAATGCCGTTAAAATGACCTCCATTGTACATGAGCTACAACATTTCTATGCTGTTGACATGTTAATGCTTCAATATTAATCATATAATAATAATAATAATAATAATATGACTCCATTCTGCATAACGAGTACTGGTGATACTTTAAAGTCAGTCTGTGTTTGCTTAAAGGCAGCCTCTGAGGCAGCAGGTGGCTATTATAAGACAAATGCTAAAATATAGACAACAGCACAACTGTACAGTACACAACAGTACACAACGGTACACAACGGTACACAACAGTACAGTACACAAC